ATGGGTAAAAGAAGAACTACGCCGATAGTCGAGAAGCCATCAGGGGAATAAAACGTCGGAATATGGAACTTCCTGCACGCTCATATGGCTACTAGGTTTAGTTAAATAGGACAAGGAAATCCCGTAAGCCTTCTAAAATGTTTGCGTTTAGTTTGCTGTCAGCAAATATTATTTAGAAATTAAAAAAAATCCGATTTATAGACGACAGAGGACTGTATAATAATTGAAAATTGCATGTACGAACTTAAGATTTAGAAACAACACTTTCAAAGATATCCTAGTAGGTCGACTATGATACTGTATCTGCTCAAAAGTCTTTTCAATACATTCTTCTAATTTTTATATTTTTTCTAAATTTCTAATGTATTACTACAAGTATTCACGCTCAGCTGAACACAACAACCGTAAAGGTTGACATTGTCACGTCTCTAACATGCAGCACATTTAAGTACGACTCAAAAACTTAAACGGTTCCATTTTCGTTCTCTCTCTTTTTACCAATAAAAAAAGATAGAGTCAAATAGAAAACGCACGTTACACAGAGGTTTCTAATGAAGCACGGGCTTTGAGAAGCTGCGTTCGGTAATGAAGAACAAGACTGCTTGTTCCGAATGCGTTTTACAAGTTTACCCTAATCTGTTTTCTATCGTCTAAGTTTCCAGCCCATAAAGGATGGCCTTAATTGTGTCAGTAGCTAAAATTGTCCACAACGGGGCAATAAGTTCTGGTGTTTTGGATAGCGACGAGCCTGACCACTCATGCCTCTTTACTTCTGCATTGCTGTTGGATTTATTAATTCACCTAATGGGAACGATTTAGACAATGAGCATTTCACTGATAACAAGGTTGAAGTCTGTTCTTAAGACCGGGTTACACAATGGTCTACGAACATTTCGAGGCGAAAACGTCCCGTATAATATGAAACGTCTCTTGATCTTAAAGCGCTCAGTTCGATAGATTTCCAGACATTTTTCTAATGATTCAGTATAAATAGTCTTCAACACTTTGAATAATTTCTAATTCAACTGTTTCGAAGTAATTCAAGTACGCGCACCCAGCACGCCTGACGCGTAGGAATAATTGTACTGCCATAATAGCTTAGTCTCAACGAACGGACGAACAAAATCTGTTCGCAAGAAGGACTATATGCCCCACATGCAGGATAATGATGCTATTTGTTGTAGTCGTAACTTGCAAATAAGGAACAGGACGGAATCCCGCGAACATCGTGTGACCGACGACAACTTTTGGTTAGTGCGACGTTGGCTTTGAGGAATAACTCGTTGCTCTTGTTCGTTGGAGAAACTGCAGACTACAAACGAGATAACAACCACACAATATGCACAACGGAAACCATAAAGCACACGTTTTTTCCGCTGAAGCAAGTTTACTTAACTTTCCGCGAATTTCTACGAATCCGACGGTCTTTCGCAGCAGGCCACTAAGTGAACACACGAAAGCAGTGCAGGTAACGCATTATCCAGCAAGAAAAAATCGCCTGGCTCCTACCTAATCATACATGGTCAAATGGCTAAGGATCTAATACCAATAGAAGTATTTCCTCTCTTTTTTCAAGTTTAGAGCAAACACTGCTGCAGAAAACCTCACGTAACACCGTTCCTGTATTACTTGAACGTACAATTAATTCATTTTTGGTGAAAAAAAAGTTAGTTTATATCTGCCTCTAGCTATGAGTGTGGTTCTCCATCGAATGGCAACAAATGAACATACATAAATTTGCGAATAGGGAATAATACTCTGCTCGACCGACATTCAATCTTCAACTGAAGGTACTCCGTCATGAGGTATCGTTCTTTATATAGCCTTGATGAGACTCGAAATTGTTAGGGTGGGAGTGATTCACTATTTTTCCTTTGGATGCGTGAGCTGTTCCAACTGGATGACCAACAGACGATAAATTATGCCCTTCTAACTCGATTCTACGCAGTGCGATAACATTTGTCGCCTGGTACGCAAATGTATATGTACGTAAAATGATCGAAACATAACTGAATACAATAAGGCATCAAGGGTAAACCAACGTAACTAACGCCCATGCAATCATTGAAAATTTGTTTATATAGGCGCGAAAAGACAAACTATTCACATCCGGTCAGAGTTCGCTGGGCCTACAATCGTCAGACATACGTGACCAGTATTGTTCTCGATATACATTTAACATGCATTTTATAATTGATGTGGCTGAATTTTAATTTGTCACAGTTTTTTAATTACGTTATTGCACCAGCCCGCCATCTTGTCGGGACTATCATTGCGGCGCGCTCGTAACTCAATTTCGAAAAATCTACTGTCATGTACGAATCACTCCGTTACTTTGATATAATATCCCATTATCCTGATTAACGAATTCGTTTACATTGCTCCAGCAGTTAAGTCACAAGTCGCGTGCAATTTCCCTCAGTCAAATGCTCCATTATGAATTCATAGATTTATTAGGTAATTCAGCGAGCTTTCGTTTGAAACAATGATTCATTCGGTCCTGACCCAAGATCCAAGCATACGAGTCTAGGGTTTAGTAAGAGAGAGCTAAAAAGCAAGACACGAATATTTCAGCAGCGAAACCTAGCCTGGCCTGGCCTGGCCTACGCAATGGACTAGCCCTGAATAGGCCTCATAAAAAAATATTCCACTATCATATTCCATTCTGTTCTTCCACTACCGCTGGTCCTATAAGCTTGTTTCTTTTCCTTGGGTCAACCATGTCCTGTTCGTATTGCAGTTAAGACATTATTTGCAACCATTGACCCACTGCTCCTTTGCGGTAACTCCGTGCCCCAGCATGAAATAAACTTTAGCTTTCAATGTTCCATGTCAATGGTAGACCGCTTCAGAAGCCAAACAAGTAAGTAATGTAAAAATAAGGAAAGTTTTTTTTTGAAGATCAAATGCTACACCTGTTATGTAGAGGTCGAAACACTAAGAGGCGTTTCATAAATACTCTACCGTTTTGAGCTAATAGTCCAAAAATAATAATTTTCCTCCCAGTTGAGATAGGTTTTAACCGAAAAAGTCTTTAATACTTTCTAACCGAAAGTTATATTCGTCACTATTGAATTGGCGGAAACGGCCAAAATACACTAAATCGAGCTTCGGCAACTTCCATGATTCTATCCGATCAAGCACCCGGTGCAAGTTTGATATCAGGCACATTTTTCCAAGTGGTACAGTTATGCTAGGTGATGCTAATACGTAAATAGCACAAAAATGTATGTTTTATATTGTACGAGCCGAGCAGAGGTTCGCTAAAGAGGGGTCTCAAATATATATATTGAGCAATATGAAATGGCGTAAGCTGTTGCTGCTTAAAGGCTTACTGGAAAGAATATTATCCTCGAGGGCGAAGTTGGTAACTTGCACAGACGTAAATTTCACTCATCGGGGTTTACTGAGAAAGCATCGACAACAACACGTGAGCAATATACGAATCATTGCTTTTGCTCAAACAGGGAACAATTCTACACGGCTACGGTTGAATACCCCGAAAGGATCAATAAAAATGGACCAGGCCTTAGAGGAAGACAATAAGGTGAAGCGTCCCAATTCAATTGTTATGCGAGAATAAAGCTATCTTGCCTAATTGAATCGTCGAAACAGTAAAAGGTAGAGGGCAGTTTTTAAAAAAAAACGTCTCTAAAAATCAATTTTCTCAAACAAAATCAGAACTGATTGGAGAAAACCAAGATCAATATGATAATTGCTTCCAGTTGACACTCGATCATGCAGACCATGTCCGCGTGCTTTCTCGCGTGTTTTTATTTACCTAGAAATAATGGCAAACGCACTCTGATCTGTTTTCTAGGCATTGGTTCAGTGTTGCGAACCATAAGTAATAGCTTGGAAACCTGTATGTATGTGTGTGTGTGTGTTTGTGGCGCAGCAGGCATACGTCACGATCGTAAGGCTACCTTCTAAGGCTACTGTGCATATGTAGCCTAGCAGGAATCTAGGCTGGCATCAAGGACCAGATGAATCGGCGTCCAAATCTCAGAACTGTGTGTCTGTGCACTTCTTATACCGATCCACGCAATGAATCTTTTCGCGTAGTCATACATTCTCGTTTTCTCTACACGAAACTCTCGTGGGACTTTCATATCTGTGGCAATGGTTAACCACCCTTTGTAGTTACATATGTTTTTTTTTCATTTTAGCTGCTACGACATGTTGAATAAACTAGCAGGAGTTGAATTTTATTTCGTTCTTGGTGCGGTGTTATTCGAAAATGCCATAGTTACGAAGTATAAGAGGAGGACGCTGTCGCTAATTTTCGAAAGTACAATAAGAGCAAATGTTTTGTCATTGTTAAGGTAAACGCATTATCAAAGCACAATTGAGCAGTAAATCAATCATCTGCCGATATGAACTTGCACACATATCTGAAAAAGCCTGTTTTGTCACATTTAGATATCAGGAGTGCTGAACATTTCGTCTATATAGGCGACAAACTAGTCTCGTTTGAAGCTCGTGCCAACTCCCAGTAGGAGTCTGGGTTATACTCGTATGATGTGGCGTTTTTTTTTTTATAAAACATTTAAGTGTTTCCGGTTGAATATAGAAACCGCATAGCTGGCGTCGATGTAAAAACCTGTCGTGCCTTATGGCCCGCATAACTCTATACTTAACATAATAATACAGCAGATACCTCACATGTGAAACTTCAGAACAATTTAAATTGGTACATATGAAATGCTAACCCTTTGAACTTTTAAATATCAAACCTTAGCCTTTGGCAAAAGCGGTTAGGATTCATCTTGTACCATAGTCGATTACAAACATAAACAGCTTACTATCCGCGTTAGACAACGATACGATTTTTAAGGTGCATGTCTGCACTTTTCAGCCCATTCCTCTCCTGCTATTATTATATGAGAGATATTCTTCTCAGCCTTATTTCTTTCTGTCACACTTAGCCTTGCAACAACAGTGTGGCAAGATGTACAGTAAATCAAGGAAATACACGAGACATGTTTCCCTTTTTGCAGATCGAAGCAGGCTTCGACGGATTTTGCCCTCGGGAAGTTGCCAGGCCCTTCGTGTTCCCTGGAGATAGTGATGCGGTCGCTCTTGGCATAGGATCAACGTGTTCAGGCACTTATCGACGAGCATCGTGCCGTTCCATGCCTTCTGTTTTTGGGAGAATCGGGAACCTTTGCCCGGAAACAAAGCGATTCTTCTTACGTTAACCGTCCACTGAATATACGGCAAAGCAGTTTCAGTTACACGGTTCGACGGCTTCCAACCGAACCGACATGTTGACTCCGAGGATTAATGGAACAAGCTACAGAAGTGCATTCTACGTACGATTCCCATTCCATCAACAGACAGATCTCCACTTCTGCATCAAGTACACAAGTTAGTCGCATGTTGTATACTATCTTATCTTTCTGAATTAATTTGTCCCACTTTCAAGTTGGGTGACATCTCTTTATAACAGGTACTAATATCATAACAAGAATCGAGGGCGCAAAACAATTATCTCAATCGTTGATGCGTTGGGTTATAGAAGTGAAAAATATTGAAGCAACTAGGCGTGTTTCTACCATGGTAAAAATGTTTATTTGAAGTAAAAAAAAACAAAGCTGAATATCTAAATGTAAATGCTCGCTCTCTGCAAAGCGTTGCCTAATAACGATGACCCGTAGTAACCTGCACAGGTGAAGCCCAGTCAAGATAAGGTGAAGTTTAGTGTGCTTGCAAACATTATTATAAATGACCTGATTCAGTGCCAATAGTCAAATTGAAGGACAGCCTAATTTAGCCTTCTTACTTAGCTGTTGTAAAGGGAAAAACGAGGATGTGTCTCATTACAAAGTATCTCTTCAGTAAGGAGAAAGCGAGACAGAGAGACTCAAGGCTTCCATAGTAGAAAAAAGTCTAAGCAAACCGTAGAGTCGGAGGTTGTGAAATACTAAAAGCCGAAGGTATACTAGGAAAAATAAATTCAATCTTCTTAAGACTGTTGCTTTCCGTTATTTTCAATATTTTTTTTTGCGATTGGCGAGCTTTAGCCAGCGAATCAAGTGGAGATTTCAAAGTTTACTGGTCTAATTTTATGTCTTTTTTTAGCACATCATAGCTTCGATGAAATTCATTAAAGTTAGGTTATAGCTTCATACTTCCGAGCAGACACAAATTATATTACATTATGTAGCCTAAATATATGTTTCAAATTTCACGCTTGACATTGTTCCAGACAACTGACCCAATAGAGACTCTGACTGTTCGACATATCTTGAAGTTTAAAACTTAAATCATAACCTAACCTAACTCCTCCTGTAAAATAACCCTGCTACTTTCGCTGTTTAACTGAGCTCACTAATCCAGCAAAGTTCGTGAGTGTTAATAAACTTACTTAATTTATTGATTTTTGGAGGCCCTCAAATTTTGACACCGACTTAAAACTGTCGCATTGTGATAAACAAAGTTCTGCTACAATTCTCGTTGAACTTCCACCAAGATTCCGACTAAATTTGGATCATGGAAGCGTTTATACGAAACAGGAACCACTAAGTAAAAGCTCGTTCCAAGAAGGACGTTAACAACTTCAGCCATGGCGAAAAACAGTGTTTCGACAACTGAATTACCCGAATTCAAGCTTGTAATGCTGCAATGTTGCCCCAAATAGATAGTCAGCCCCCAGATAACTATGCAGCTTCACAACAGTTCCAGTGCAGCCTGGCGAAAAGCCAACACAGCAGAAGAGCAACAGTGTTAACATCCGAATTAATCGGCGCCGTCTAAATGTACGTTTCTGATGATCTTCCTATCCCACTCAGGTTGTTAGAAGGAAAAAAATTTGAAGTCAGACAGATGCCCCCTGAAAACAATGCAACCAAGATATTTAAGCAGTATCGTTTACCTTTGAGTAAAAAATAATAAATATTCTCAATTTAAAAAGTAACCGCAAAAACGGTTATTCTATCAAAAACAATCTAGAGGATATGTCTATTGTAAATAAAAGCAATATTTCGGCCATTGTTTAGACTCAATTCTGTTCTAGGAAGCCGAACGTATGACCATAGAAAATCATTCATAGGCTGTTGTACTAGCTAGAGAACTGGCAACAGGATTAGCGGCTTGAGCGTCTGGGCATGTGCTGGTGTCATATGTGGGCAAGCACATATGACCTCCAGCGGCCCAAGTTGGGATTCGCTGGATTATTTTGTATGGTGTGTCAATGGGTTAGGGACCAACAAATCCTGATGATGTCAACGTGCTCACTCATGCTATCACGAAGAAACTCGTCCATTTGCAAAAGAAATATTTGAAGCGAACTAAAACCATATGTAAACAATATACAATTGAAAATTTTATTTTGGCCTTTGGACTATCTGTTCTTATTTAGATAAGTCTTAAAAATAAATAAAGCATCAGAAACATTCGGGGTTAGACAAGCCGCTCCGTGTACATATGTAAACGTATGTTTTTGTGATCCTGATTATCGTTCAAATCATCTACCCAGCAGCGGTTGTGATTGCGGTATTTCGAGATTTCAATTAGGCAAATAAACACAATCGCAAAAATAAACGTCTGAGACTTTTTTAAAATGGAACTTAATACAATACCTTAATTATTGTAAGGCGAAATACGTCCCGTCATCAGACAGGTCCGCTCAGACCATGCGCAAACCATTTCAAAGTGGTTAGTACAGATTTGATAAATAATATATGTATATCTTTTTTCGTGTGTATTATCTCTACTAAGCCAGCCATAATACAAGGTATAGGTGCAAAATAAAGTTCGTTCCGTAAAGATTTACGCTTTCGTAAAGATGTTTATTATTAATTAAGTTAATTGAATTTTTTCCGTTAGTTTCTGCTTCGTTAGTTCCGTTAGCTGAGGCATGTCAGCACCACGATCGCCACCAGATCGCTCGTCGATGGCCTAATGATATCATTAAACTCGTAGGGGTGTTTTTCCTGTATGAAATGAATCCTTTGATGCATCCTAAGGCATATCTTCTGGTTAGAAGGCACAAAATAACTGTACTACAAAAAAAGATTGTCTGTGAATTTTTATGCATTTATGTGCGGCCAGCTGCACGTCAGTGAAATAAAAATCGATTCTTGCGACTCCTAGCGTTTTATAGTTGTCCTGAATACTAAGCCATCTTAAGTGTGTGTAGCAATATTGTAGATTTCACAGAGATTTGTTCAATTCAGACAAAGTCTAATCAAAGCTGTATGTTTTTGGTAATGCTGACATTATTTTGACGAAACTCAAGTAATACTATGGACCTAATCCTCGAAATCGTTTGACAACCCGCTTACGTATTTACTATGAGCGATTCGAGTAATACGCCCCATCCGCCTTAGCGTTAGGCTCTCATCAGTGATGCTAAAATGTCCCCAGACTATTATATTTAGGCTATATTAGAGAAAATAATTATTTTTACAAGTTCTGTGCTAGCGTTCGCTGTATTTACGTAAAGATAATTCATACATACGCTTCACTCGAGGTCCCGCTTGTGCCGTACCCGTCTCAGATGGTCGTAATTATAAACGTCTCAATAAATTATTTTGTTTGAAGGATTATCTTTGACAAGACAGAAAAAGTTTCAACATATATATAAACCCTTTTACGTATCTAATTGATTATACATAAATGAATTTTATGATCGGACAAAGTATAAGCATCTAGTTAGTTGAAAGTGTAGGCCGATATATACCTGTATTCTTCGTAACTGTATATTTACGTTAGACATGTCAACCGAAATGTTGAATACCATACAAATGGATCCATATTCCTGCGTTCGTTTTCTATATGCATTTTCTCTTTATATTATATTGTTCGTGCATTGTCTGATGGAAAGCAAAACATTTTGACACGTAGCCATATCCTTGCTAGCCAATTCTACCTGCGCAACAATGCAAAAGTTCAATCAATCTAGGGATCGAACCGATGTCCCTGTTGCAGTCGCGCGTAGATAGGCCTACCGTCCTATAAAAGTCTACCTTTCCGCAATAAAATCGACTCCTTCGAACCTACTACTTCAACTTCCAATAGAGATTAGTTAAGGTAAGGTATTTTAACTGCATGAATAGAAATTACATTGAACCTTTCTAACATGTTCGTGTCCAAAGAGAAATGTCACATTCTGGCCTTTGATCTGGTATTATTTTCTATTAATTCATAACAATTTAGGTAAAATTGACGATTGACACCATATCAATTCTTGTATCAGTAATAGAGCACAGTCATTCGGCGAGGCACTGCATGTCCTCAGAATTGTCAATGACCAGCCAGCAAGGTGGCCGGTTTTTCTGCAGATAGGCAAGGTAAATTCTGTACATTTACTCAAGATATGACTCATTCATGACCGTTCTAGTCCCTGCAGACATGTGACGGAAAGTAGTTTCGTGGAACCGTCAATTACATGGAAGGAACATCATCGAGGCAACTTACGCGATTGAAACACACGAGCTAATCAATATGAAGGTGTATCAAGTTATTAGGAGACCAAACGTATTGCAATAAACTATTTGAGAATGAAATGTTTCGAAAAAATGCCAGCTCACGTTTTTATATATTATGCCGTGTGTTAGTCTGTCGTCGCTCTTCTGCGTTGTTCTATAAAATTAAAGTAAAGAGCATACAATGCGACGCGTTCCTAACTGTCTATGAACGAATTCTTCAATCCTCATTCTCTGCGGACATCGAATTCTGGCCTTTTTTTTACAGTATACTCAACGGTGTTTGTTACTTTACCGTAACCATGCTATCTTTATAATAGTATTTTATGATTGCTCGCGATAATAGATACTTCACATGCTCATTTTGTTGGGAAATCAATGTTGATCAAGCATGTTGACACACCTGCGAGCTGTTTCGGTCATGTCAGAGATGCTGTACTCAATGACAAAATGCCAATATCGTCTAAGGCTGGGTGTTCACGATCTTGCCCTAGGTTAGATCTCAACGTGGATGCCTTATTTTCTAACGTTTCTTTCACGTATATATACATATGTATTGTTTGATATCGTAAAGCATAAGAACGCTATCCGTTACTATAAGAAACACTTTTTTTCGTTCGTATTACCGTTTCAAATCAGCCTCTAGACCACCTCAACCTTGGAATAACAATTTCCACTATACTCCAATAGATTTCAAGTCGTTTCGATCAAACTCTTACCGGGTATCGTGTCCAAATATTAAAATTATCTTACAAATGAGCTTGTTACAAATTATATTGAGTAACCTATATTGAGAAGGTCTACTGTGACGCTAGATTAAGAACGCCAAGAAGCTTCGTTAAATTTCAGAAGTTCATTCAAACCTATCTCTATTATTATTTAAAGTACAACTGCAGAAAAGTTTTATGTACCGAGTCACGCCTACACGTTTAAAGTTGATTATTGTAGAGTGGCGAGAGGGCATTAGTTATTAGTTGGGTCCCCCCTGCTAAAACGTTTCTGACGCCCATAATAACCCCTTCATGTTCGTGCAGCAAACGAGAGCCGTAAACTGGCTTATTCCAGTACGATTCATTGTACTGTTTACAGAAACGATTACGTTCTCTGCCAGAGAGAGCCTACATCAACGATCTATAGCTGTCGTTGGGGCTAACATGATCAACTTTGAAGTTTGGGCTATTTTTAATCGACGTCCAAATTGATTCTCACGATATCGACACTCATGTTATTCGATGCAGGTAAAGTTTCACTTACCTTACGTTTACGTTCACGAAAACTTATGGACACTATTCGAGAAAATATTTACCTATGAAAATTTTGTAACTGCACCATTAAGGAGAAAAATTACCTGCTTTTGACATTAGCGATGAGCTCATTACCCGTGGATGATGGCTAACATACCTGAATCTAGATACTACCTAAATATTTTTCTTCTGGCAGTACCAGCGACGGCGTCCATTCTCGACTAAGCTTTAGGTTCTGATGCCGAAGCTGTTATCTTGCACCACTTTCGGCGTATCAGTCACCCATCTACGTTCCTAGCTAAAGGTCTCGAAACCGACCCGATGCCGTCAGACGGATATATTTATTCCTCTTAATTCCCACTACTTAACATCGTTTCCGCACTTCCTCTCCGATTCGCGTTCGACTGAGTGCGAAGATAACCTGCACAGAAGATCGAAAATAGGAGAACGTTGCTATACAGGAGTCTTCTAGGTTACTTCCGTGCCACACATTGTCGATCGGAAGCGCCCTCTTTATGAGCTCACAAGAAGCCATACTCATCTTAACTAGAATCGGATCTGGCCGGGCCAGACCTGGTGAAGCTGCCCTATATCAAGCACCGTCTTCTGACAATTGCATTGATCCTTATTTCATAAGGCCTTCGTTACCAATGTCATCTGAAACGGATCAGAAGACTCTTATTAGCTGCGTTTCCATACTGGCGCCCCTAACCGCTCGTCCTTGTATTTCGCCCCATCTATTTTTTCGTTCGAAAATGCAGTCGACTTCCTAAGATCAACATCCAGCTGGTGCCCCTTCCTTCATTGATTAGATACGGCTCGAAATCGCCTCCAAGTAACCCACTCCCACAGCCATGTGCTTGTCGTCTTCGAGCGCACTTCAGAATAGCGCGTTTTCCCTGCGTGCTGCCCCTACGGGTCTATTTACCAATGCCCTCTGATGGTTCTAGTGCTTGAGGGACTGATATAACCGATCTTCTGACTACTGTTGGCCAGCTGCGGTGGGGTACGCACAACCACGTGGGCGTGTATGTGTGCATAGTGCCAGTGACAATGGCAGCGGTAGTAGAAAGAGCGGGGAGACTCAGTAGCCTGGAAGCTCGGAGTTAGCAACAAGCAGGTCGGCGGGTTTCGTTTATACGGCAGCCGCAGAAGCGGCACGGCGCCCCTCTCGCCAGTGGCGGGCACGACACCCCTTTACAAGCTCGCCTGTCATTGGCCGATAGTGATGACGTCACGCGCGGTCCTCCCATGCGAGCAGGTCGGCCTGCCTCCGCCATCTTCGGTGCTCTGTCGCGCCACTGAGCTACTCTTGCGAGCAACAAGTTGGCGAAGGCACTCCGAGCCCGTTCGCCGGAGCGCGCGCACCCAAAGAGGACGCTATATCACATGCGATCGCGAGCATCGAGTCATCGATTTGAGCTCTCTTGGCTGCCGTCGTAAAAAAAAGTTGCAAAAGAAGGATTCTGCCAAAATACTTTATTCTATCATCGCGCATCAAACTAACACATTCTACCAAAACCAAAAACACAGATAAGCTTTTGTGCACCCCGTTGTATAACAACGAGTTGAAATCCTTGAAACTTTCCTTGTTCATCTCGTCAGATTTCTTAGCTGCTTTTGCGTTACGCACTAAGCTAGATCAGAAGACACGCAAGCATTTCTTGCGAATTCAATCTGAAAGTCATCGTCGCCGCCGTCAGAGAGACCATCGGTAACACATCGGCCGCATTACTTAACCCTACCAACATCTGCTCTGATTGAAAGGTAAGTAAAATTAATGAGTTAGTTTACAGAAAAAGTTTAGAATTTTGATACAGCGAACTGCCACACCCACCATTATAACTGGCGCCTTTATTACAATTGCAACTCGCATTGCTACGAAATAGCAGTGCTAGCGGCAGTCGTGCTTTACTTATTTACGTGCTTAACGCCCCCTCAAGTACGTTCGTTACCCTTTCTTCCAGCCATAGCTAGAGCCCAGGGCCAAAGAAGAGTTGGAGCGATACAAAAGTACATACAGGCGCGCATATGTGTATGTACTACTTGCATGTTATTATTAAGTCTGATGAAAAAAACTTGAGAGGGAAAGTTTGGTTGAACGCTACATTGCCCCGCGTCCCGTGTACATAGCAGCAGCGGCACGAATAGGCTTCGTGGCTTGGGGTGAGGCAGAGCGTTCACCAGTGTTTAGTTATGTGCCTCCGCCCAAAAGAAGTTTCTGTTGCCGCAAGCGAACCGATTAAATCCATGCTAGATCTAAGACAGGGGAAGATGAAGGATGGTTCGATATTAAAATAAAGTGAAGGCCACAATGAATAGCGACGATGCTTCGACTATTAGAACATTCAACAGAGATTGCGTTTAGTGGACATGTGTGAAGCTTCATCATACTCAACTTAGATCGTAGCCGCTACAGGTTGCTTGAGGACATCAGCAAACTTCGTTTAGTTGTTGTAGTCTCGAAAAAGACAAAAAATGAAAGCGTAAGACGACTCACATATTGATGCCAATGTAGGCGAAAAAGATATGCAGATAAAAAAAAGTATAGCACAATTTAATTTCACGCTACACAAATCAATAATAATAAAAGCTCCATATATATATATATATGTATGTATGTATGTGTGTGGGCATGTGTTGCACCCCAGTTGTCAGGTGATGTCTAAAAATTTATAGTAAAACGCAGCTATAACACATAGATTAATGGAATTAAAACGCGTCCCATATTGCAACGTCCTGAATCTTAGTCGGGTGACTAAAGAGGTGATTATTCACACGACAAAAATCATTGTGAATTGAATGATCAAAAATGCGTGTCAGGTACTGCCATGCCCAAGTCCTCGTTAGTCCTGCTGGCCTACTGCTAACTAGACCAACTTATAGAGATAATTATTCAGTTATCCAATAAGCTAACTGAAAGTGCGAATCAAAGTTACAGGTCGATCAATGTAATGGAAATAGGTCACTAATTCAGCTAAGAGTTTTTACTAGTGTAACGGTCAAGAGCATTCAATTTATATAAGGTCTTTTATACACTTGCCAACCTCTGTGATGTACCCCCTTTGATAGCCATTTCATGGTCCTTAAGAAACATAAGTTTCACTACTTGATGCATCGACTTTAATAGAGATGATCTTAATCGAGACTTAAATTTAAGAACTTTTTTTAACCATAGCAAAGTCAGAAAGGAAGACTAAATAACCCTAAGCTATTAACATTAACCGTTCAAACAAAAAAAGTGTATCATATATTTACGCTTGTTATGATTTGTCCTTTATTCACTAGACCAGCTGTAAGTGGTGAGCTTATCAAATAGAACAAAACTCGGTACTTTATCCATATAAGGATCGTTTTGTAAAATATAGTGACAAAACCATCCTGATACCGAAACATCTTGCCAACGCGTCCATTACAAACGAACCCTATTCAGGAACGAATACCAATTTTAGGTAATAGAATACTCTCAGACAAAAAATTTCCAGATTCGATCTTCGAAGGCCATCGAAAATTTTAGTCCTACCAATTTTAGACCTACTGTACCCAATGAAAACGTCGTACACGTTGACAGTTGATATTTTTTCATGCGAGTCATGCTTCAGGGCGTTGAAGTTTCAAAGGACCATTATTATATTACACATCCATAAATAGTTCATAACTAGCAGAGATGACCGTCATGTATGGCCAGTATGTCCATCTACTGGACACCAATTCATCATGTTTTAATCCTGCAAGCTTACTTAGAAGATGTCCATCCTTGGAAACCTTGTACAGAGCATCATCCACACAGACTCGATGAGGTTTCGAAACGGTGTTTATTCATTTTCGGAAGTTACTTATAACTTCGACTAACGAGACTAAGTTAAGTTAGAGAAGTGTTTCGCTACGGCGTAGCGCATTTTTCTTTGGGTTAGTGTAACAGCTACCGGATAGAAAAAAGCAGATGCAGTTAGCTAATTTAATTTCACTGTACTCGACGTAAATTGATAAAGCCATCATTATAATAGGGAGAAAACCAGTATGATATAAATAATAAAATAATAACAGCTATATAAAAATAGATTTTTTGGATTTCATCAAAAAGACGACATGTAATGGTTTTCTCAACGGTTCCATTACTTATCTTACCTATGCATACGATTTCATACGATCTATCCACTATTTGAAGACTCTCAACAAAGGCTTAGAAAGCTGCACACTTTGATTTAGGGAATATCATTGTTGTGCCATTTAAAAAACCCGACACCTTTGAATGCTTTTAGTTATGCCCTTTTTAATATAATAAATTGACTCGGATGAACGTATCTCTCATGCGTAGCTTTCACTGAAGAGAAACAATCTTAATAGACTAACCAGTGTTGCAAGTAGCTGAGTTCAAAATGAAAGCCTAAGATTGCCTTCAAATAGCGGAAGGTCCCCTCAGTATCACTCAGTATATATGGAAAGCCCCACGTTGATACTAGGATTTTAGAATGATTTCGAACATGATAAACTTATTGAATATATGGTCATCAAAGGATAGGTTTATATTAATTATAAGAACTCTGAAGCTTTTTATAAAGCAAAAAACTGAAAGTTTTATTCTTACAAGGACCGTATGGACTAGTGGGGTGGGCATTCAACTACTTCATATGCTCAAAGTACATGAACGCAGTACCAACCCGTATAAAGTATGGCCTAACAGTTTTGACTGCCACGTTTGGTACTACCGTTAGATACGGTTTCAGACATACCTTGGCCTAGTTAAATTTTCGTAAAACAACCTCATCCGATGGCAAAAAACCCTTAAAATTATTGGAGACTAAGCTGTACATAAACGACCTAAGGACACTGAAGCAGGCCAGCGTTTTACGGAGATATTTCGATACCTCGGGTAGCAATGCCTGTCGTATTAAACAAGAACCGCCGAATGCAAGGGCTGTGTTTGCAAGTGTGAATAGGCTACCGTAGTTACATTATTTATCATCGTGGTCTCGAAAGCAACAAGACGGCTTGGTGTTGGGCGTGTTTGGGGACAAAACAGGTCGGTCTGGAACTTGCCCATAGAATCACCACGATCATTAGGAGTCATGATGACCCGTTTGAGGAAGGCAATTAAAGTACCTCTTCAACTATTCAGACTTCCTGGATATGTTAGAACGCATACATTTCACGGTATTATAAATGTCGTGTTGAGGTACAGAACCCGTTAAGTGTTCACTGTTTCGAGAACAATCTTGAGGTTTCTATTACAATCCCTGTAGACTTGGCGACAGCGATTGGCTACAAATAAGGTGCTCTCATGCCATGGCCTGGCCACCATTGTAAAGGAGGGCAAGTACAGCCACGCATTTTATGAACATAATAAAAGAGGCCGTTTTGGAGCTCTACTGGGCGATTAAACTTAGGCCTGTGATATTAGATGGGTTTGAAAATTATCTCTCTCCGTTTTATCGCATGATTGTTTTAATCTGCTAGCTCTTTATGACGACTGTTCTGTTTTATATATTGGTATTAGAGGGTGTCGAATATTGGCAAGACGCTTATTGGGCAGATGTTGAAGCGTAGAATGTCAACTTCCTTGCCCCTGTGATTATTTCAGCTTTCATTGTTAAAGCTTACGCTTTCTCATGGCAGATTGAGTGAAGCTTCGGCATGTGAAATCCTGCACAGATATAGGATTAGAGGAAGTTTATCGACACCCTACTCTCTGTCCGATGTAGTATTCTACCATAGATTAGTGCATTTCCTAGCCACACATCCAAAAATTATTTTTCCTTTTCCTTTGTACATCTATGCAACCCTAAAATAATGTATGGAACAAATCCGAACTTTGGGATGTGCAGCACAGAATTCGAATTAAATCGCATGTTATGCAAGCGTCTAACCTACCTCTGTTTTCCCAGTTCAATGGATAAAACAAGTTTTGTTTACGCCCTTCTGTTGTTTCATAAGTCACTGAACTTTCTCTAGTTTTTGAAAAATTTCAACGATGAAAAAGCGTTACGGATATTATAATATGAAGCGGCAGGAACATACCTGTAATATAATGTTTATTAAGAACACTATTAGAAAACTATTATATTCTCACAGTATGAGACGAAGTATTTCTACTCAAACGTGAAGACTTTAGCTCTGACCGATCTAAAGTCATATTTTCTTTTCAAGTCGAATTTGTTATTTTCGACATTGTTTCTGTTTTATTACCGTGTACGCATAAAACACGCAGGAAATGCATGTTTCTCCTACTGACGGTGCTTACGTTATACGGCTTGTATGTGATTATCGAATTATTTTGTAGGGGGTGTCTCCTAATTAGGGTCACGTGTTCGACGCAAAATTCACACAGGTCAGCTGACATATATATACCGTCCAAGCGATTCTGGTTGCGTTGCATGAGCAGGAAGACCTGATGTCGAGAAGGTCCGATCGTAACCTGTGGGAGAGCTCTCGTAAATAAGCGTGGGCTGCTTTGCGTCACCAATCCATAGTGTTTGTGCTAATTTCGCCACGCTCCGCTATTCGTAAAATCAATGTATCGTTTGGTACCGTCGAACTGCACGTGTAACTGAGGAACTAGTGAGCTTGCTTGGGCGGCGTCCCTACTCATGTCCGCATGTTGTCGTGTAATCTGTTGAATGCGGTTGGCACAAACTAATGTGAGCAACGGAAAAATAAGAGACAAGCAGAAAAAGAACTTTAAAGTTTGGCTATGTGTTTAAGCAGTCGGAACTATGATATGTCGCGGAGTAGAAAATTTTTAGCTAAAGTCCAAGACAGATAGGGAG